ATTTTTCAAGCAGCCCCGGCCAAGATTTGAACCATGTTCAGCCATTGGGGATCTGGCTCCTCGTGTACAGGGGCTTCACTGCTGCTCTACAGAGACCAACCACCGTGTGGCTTCGTGTGAATCACATGGACTTCTTGGATCTCATTTCCTCATCTGTAAAATTAGGGGATTCAATGAAATGGTCACAGAGTTGTCTTTCAGCTGTAAGAACTTCAGGGTCCTTATGAGTGGAATTGATTACTTACCCTACCACACTCCAAGGAAACAGAACCCATTCAGGGCAAGTGAGGAGTAGGGAACGATCTGAAATGAGTGTTGTATGAGGTGAGGCCAATAAGAGAGAGAATGGAGGAGTCCAAGCTCTCTCACTCAATCTCACTACTTATGGCCTCAGTTCAAGTCAAAAGGGACAGAAAGGTGAGGGGTAGAAAGTGAAAGGAGATGGGACCAGGCCATCCTGGGTCTGGAGATGGAGGAGGAGAGCTTAGTCTTGGTATCACAGAGTGGAGATTATGTTCCAGGAGGCAGGAACTCTCCAGCCCCCAAACTGTCAAAGCCTATCTGCACCTTCCCTCCTAAGGATAAGAGAAGAGCTCTTGTTAAGACTTCCTTTTGGTGTGAGGGCATTAGAGCCCCACATGGGGCCTCAGCCGTAAACTGGGATGAGTAACCGCGTGTCTGTCTCATTGCCCTACATGGGAAGGGAAGAAGACCCAAGTCTGTCCTAGTGTTCCTTTGAACAAGTTAATTGCCCTCTCTGAGCTTTAGACTCCCACCTATTAAAAAATAGGCACTGGTGTATGTCACTGTTTTTTAAATCCACTGGGACTGAAACAAATTAAAAGCTTCAATAGTTTCCTCAAGCAGCTGTCACCTCGGCAAGAAACGCTTCATGATTTGTGAGGTCCCTGAGGCATCTCTGAAGACTCCTTCCACCATAGAGTTAAAAAAAATAAAATAAAATCACTAGACTAGGTGAACTTTGACCTCCCTCTCTGCTTTCTGACCTGTTCATTTTCTGGTTATGGTTACGTTTGCTTTCACATTTTCTATCTGCTGCATTTGACCCTGAATACAGATAATACCTAACTTAACAATTGTTGGGATAAGTTTTTGGCTTCACGATGGGGTGGGCTGTCATTTGTTTTGTTTCTTTAAAAACCTGACAATCAGTACCAGCACATGATATAATGGTGATGTTGCTGGACTCCCACTAGCCAACTGTGGTTCGAGTCCCAGTCCCAGTGGCTTAAAACTCATGCCGGGCACGTGTGTGTGTGTGTGTGTGTGTGTACACCCAAGATCCCAGGAGGAGAATGAAAGAGATTGTGGCGTGGTCATCCCCCTGGGGGTGATTTCTCGCTTTCTGTCTCACTGTCTGTCTGGTGAGCCCACACCCTATAACAAAAATCTCTCAAAACAAACAAACAAACAAACAGACAATGGCTTTGGCATAAAATGATAAGAACTGCATTCTGTTTTTCACTTTTAGTACAGTAGTCAATTTTTCCTTTTTTTTTTTTTGGAGAGGTTTTTGCTATAGGGCATGTGCACTCACCAAAAAGACAGAGAGAGACAAAAAGTGAGAAGTCACCCGACAGGGGGTTGACCACGCCACAATCCCTTCTCCTTCATTCTCCTCTCAGAATCTTGGGCACGCATGCATACGCACCCGAGTTTAAGCCTCCAGGTTCGGGACTCGAACCACTGTCGACTATGTGAGAGTCCAGCGACATAGCCATTATGCCAACTGCTGGTCCCAATTTTTTTCCCTTTATTAAGATTTATTATTTACATTTAATTACAATGCATCTTTATGGTTTACGACATGGTTTTTTTTCCCAGCACAAATACAGTGCCTATCAGCCAGGACAAAGACATTATGTACATTACCATTAACAAGTAATTTTTCGTTTTTGTGTCAATTAAACGTGTCATTTGACTTTTTTCCCTGTTCTCTTTCCTCCCCCTATTATCCATACCCTATTACTCCTCCCTTACCATCTCTACAGTAGTCAATAAATGACGTGAAACATTTAACACTTTATTATAAAATAAGCTCTGTGCTCGATGATTTTGCTTAATGGTGGGCTAATATAAGTGCTCTGAACAAGTTTAAGGTAGACTAGACTGGGCCGGCAGTGGCATGGTGGTTAAGGGCACTAGACTCCCACATGGCTGGCGGAGGTTCGAGTCCTGGACCTGGCAACTTGCTTTCTCACTTTCTCTCTCTCTCTCTCTCTCTCTCTCTCTCTCTCTCTTTCTGTCTGTCTCTGGTCAAGTTAAAATAAATAAATAAAGTTCAATAAAAAATAAGTCTTTAAAAAAAAAAGCCAGACTAGAGTAAGCAATGATGCTTGGTAGGTTAGTTGTATCAAATTCATTTTTGGCGTAAGCAAAATTTTCAACTCACGATGAGTTTATTGGGTCATAAGCCCATAGTCAGTCGAGGAGCAACCGTTTCGGTGTTTCTTTAAAAAAGGTGTCATCGTGACTTGACCTCAGGAGGACAGGTTTCATCTTTGTGCATTGCTGGTTTCAGCTCATTCCTCAGTCTCTTTATTGAAGTTTTTATTTTCCTTTCCCCACCCCAATACAAGGCTTTGTTCTTACCATACACACTCATTCATGAGATGCTATGACAAAGTCAGCCATCCCTATCCCTGTTTCTAGGTTTAATGAGTCACAGGAGATTGATGCTGAAAGAAATCTCACACCTGGATGAGACTCGCTGCTACTCTATGCCCCATTCAGAGGTGGAAATCGCTGACTTTATTATTTTGGTTTTGTGGTCTCTTGGAGAAAAGATCTTGTCATGTTGGTTTCACAAGTAACTTGGCAGACCAGTTTTACTCAGATTCTCCAAATGGGAACACAACTGAAATTTGTGGTTCTTCCTTCTCTTTGTTTAACTTACTAGTGAAAATAACAATGACAAGAACACTCAGCTATTCTTTATAGAGTGTAAGAGGCTAGGCATTAGGGTAGATGCACCACGTAGCATCTTTAATCTTCATAACTTTAGGAGATAGATATTATTGCCTCCACTTCATGGATGAATAAGTCTCATGGCGATTATGCTCAGACTTGCTAGAAGCCTAGCCTGGATTCAAACCCGCATTGATTCTAATACTCGTGTTCTTTCTGCTTTCCCATAAAGTATGCCTCTCTAGAGTGCTGAGAAACGATAAGTTTGATAAATAAACGCCAAGAAGAAGAGAGAAGAGAAAAGGCTACTAATAATTACAGCTTTACTTGGAGATCACGTGAGAACAAATTATAAAGTCTAATCTTATGTTCATGGAAAAATCAGCAATCGATACCGGCCCAAACATATTCCCAGGACCTTGTAAGTTTTAAAACTCTCTGAGTCTTGATTTTCTTATCTATAATCAGAGAATCAATACAGTACCCCCTGCAAACAGTAAAGCACCAGTTTACTTAGAAAACACAGTCAGCTTCTTAAATTAAACTCTTAACAATGCTCCTGAAGGAATATAAAGTTGACGAAGCATCATTACAATAGCTAACGTAGATCTACGCAGTATTTCATAGCTTACAAAATTCACTTATATCTATTACCTCACTCAGTCCTCCCGATGGCTTCTTGAGGAAGATGTGGTCAAAGCTAGACCTTTAACTAACAGTAGATCAATGAGTGTTGACTAGACAATTGCTGTGTGCCAGGTTATTCTTGAATTTGGATGGGATACATGGGTGTCTAGAACTGGGATTATATGTGATTTTATTTTATTTTCAAATTTTCCTGCAATAAATATATCATTAGAAAAGATTATCCTCTCTCCCATCCCTGCAAAAAGAGACAAAAACAAAGGGAGGAAAATGTCAGACTAGCGGGCCCGCAGGTGGCGTAGTGTTTATGTCACTGGACTCTCACATGGCCAACCATAGCTTGAGTCTCAGATCCGGTGGCTTCAAACTCATGCTGGGGGCATGTGCATGCATGCCCATAATCCTGAGAGGAGACTGGAGGAGAAAGGATTGCTGTGTGGCCATCCCCCTCGGGAAGTGAGTTCTCACTTTCTCTCTCTCTGACTCTCTAGCAAGCACGCATCTCCTATAGCAAAAAAAAAAAAAAAGAAAAAAGTCAGACTAGGCCCCTTGCAGGAAATCTGAATCTACTGGAAAAGACAGATGTGCACAGCAAGCCCACAGACATTGCAGACCGTGATTAAATTTCATCCAAGTACAAACAAATGAGGCAAATCATTTTGATTCTAGGAGCAGGAGGCCTTTGAATGCTCTGTGAATTAAGAGCAGTACAAATCCTTATCCACACGGAATGGTTTCAAGAGCCCCACACAATGGACAAAAGCTCTGAAATCCTAGCTACTTGAAAAGAATGATTACCATCTCTGCCTATGTTTCCCAGCTGAGCTGGGTGTGTGGGTCATTCTGTTCACTGGGGCAGTGGCATTGTGCCAGGACTGTTCTCTGAACAACCCTGTGAGACCTTGAGTTGACACTGGGATGGCATTTGCTATAGGGCATGTGTGCTTGCTGGAGTGACAAAGACAGAAAGTAAAGAAACACCCTCCGGGGGGCATGGCCATACTGCAACCCCTTCTCCATTCTCCTTTTGCGATTTCAGACATGCACACACATGTGCCCAGTGTGCATTTCAAGCCACTGGGTCTGGGACTCAACCTACAGTTGGCTGCATGGGAGTCCAGCACCTTAACCACTGTGCCGCCTATTGACTTCTAATGCCAAATCCTTCCTTTACCCCTTTTCCCTTCTTATCCAGTGCTGTCATCTTCTTTCTTCTCCCTTCCTATAAAGCTCTTTAATCCCCCTTTTCTTTTTCCATGCTGCTGGGGTCCTCATGACCAGCCCCCATTCCATGGTTTCTTTGGAAGACTCACAAAACTTGGCATACAGTTGTATTGCAGCTGTGACTTATTACAGGGAAAGGATTTTGCTTTGGGTTGGGGGGAGGAAAAACTGCCTGGAGCAAAGTCCAGAAAAAAAAAATCAGCACACGTTTGCAGGAGTCTTCTCTTAGCACAGTCACACAGGGCACACTTAAGTCCTCCAGAGACAAATTGTGATGACAGGTGTGAAATGTTTATTAGAGAAGCTCGCCAGAACCTAAGCCTAAGGTTTTTATCAGAGTCCATCATGCGCACGCCCGCTGCCTAGCACATATCCAAGCTCCAGACTCTCAGAAGGAAAGCAGGTGTCCAGCAGAAGCCACATTATTTGTACAAGTGGGTGAGCCCAGGGAGCCATGCTTGCCATTTAGGGAGTAATTGGGACCCTCCCAGAATCTGTTCCTGAGAGGTAAACCCGTGAGCAGGCCTTTCTAAGAACAGTGGTCCCTGATGTGCTGTGCTCTTTTCTGCACAGTTCATCCCCTCCGCCCTCGGCCAAGGCATCTTTACAGTAAAATTACTATCATTAGGACCCCAGGTGGCGGGGTGAGACTCAGTTAAATCTTTGAGAGGTCTTGTACTTAGTCAGTTAAAACAAAGTCCATCACTGGGACCAGCAGTTAGCGTAATGGCTATGTTGCTGGAGTCCCACGTAGTCGGCCGCGGTTCGAGTCCCAGACCCAGTGGCTTAAACTCACGCCAGGCATGTGTGCATGCATGCCCAAGATTTAGAGAGGAGAATGGAGGAGAAGGGATTGTGGCGTGGTCATCCCCCCTGGAGGGTAATTTTTTCTTCTTCTTTTTTTTTTTCTTTCTTTTTCTTTTTTTTTTTGGAGAGCTTTTTGCTATAGGGTGCATGCACTCGTCAGACAGACAGAGAGAGACAGAGAGATAGAAAGCGAGAAATCACCCCCCAGAGGGGATGGCCATGCCGCAATCCCTTCTCCTCCATTCTCCTCTTGGGATCTTGGGCACACATGCACACACGCCCGGCGTGAGTTTAAGCCACCGGGTCCAGGACTCGAACCACGGTCGACTATGTGGGAGTCCAACGACATGGCCATTACGCTAACTGCTGGTCCCTGGAGGGTGATTTCTTGCTTTCTGTCTCTCCGTCTCTCTCTGTCTATCTGGCAAGTGCATGTGTCCTATAGCAAAAACCTCTCCAAATAAATAAATAAATAAAGTCCATCACCTAGAAAGCCCAGGAGGCTTTCTCCTTGATTTTTTTTTCCTTGGGGGGGAGGAGGTTTTTGCTATAGGGCACGTGCGCTCTCCAGAAAGACAGAGAGAGACAGAGAGACAGAAAGAGAGAAATCACCCTCCAGGGGGGATGACCACGCTGCAATCCCTTCTCCTCCATTCTCCTCTCGGGATCTTGGGCATGCACACACACACACCTGGCATGAGTTTAAGCCACCGAGTCCGGGACTCAAAGCATGGTCTGCTACATGGGAGTCCAGCGACATGGCCATTATGCCAACTGCTGGTCCCGCCTCGATTTTTATGTGAGTCTTTGTTACCTGGCCTGAGGTATAGGTTCAGGCCTGTACAGCACAGTTAGGCAAGGCCAACCCGAAGGTCTTCCAGGGCTAAGGCAGTGTCGGTGCCAGGGCTAAAGCAGAGGGTACACCCATGAGCAATCCCAGAGTGCACACACTGGACCCCTAGAAACAGAGTTGGCAATCACTGGGGTGCCCCACACAGGACACGTATCAGGCATAACAAGCTGACAGAGCCCCAAGGTGGCCTCTGATCGTGGGGCCAGAGGCTTCTGGTTCTGTTCAATTAATTTATCTCAGTCCTCGGTTTCGGAGGGACTGCCTGAGGCCGTCAGTTACCAACAGTTTGCTTGTTTCTGACACAGTTCAGCTCCCTCGCAAGTGTGGACGACATCTGGAGCTGCTCCGTGTGGAGGTGTTGGCGCCAGGCCACCCTGCTGTCTGGTAGTCTGTGCTGCAGGTGTGATCACAGTCTCCTTAGTCCATCAGAACTCAGAGCACTTCCAGCAGCTTGGAAGGGCAGCTAGGGGTGTGGGGAGAAAGGTTTCCCGGAGCAGTTCAGAAAGACACAAACCATTAATGCCCGTACTGCTCCCTGAACTTCCTGGGTACTGGGTTTTTGGTTTTCTCTGTTATTTCAAAATCAGTATGCTTCGCTCAGTAATCATAACTGTACACCTTAAAAATTGTCCCCTACTCGAGGGCTACTTGGTATGGTGGTTAAGGAGCTGGACTCCCACATGGCCAACCACCTTCACGTTCCAGACCTGGAGGCTTGAAAATCGTGGTGTGTGTGTGTGTGTGTGTGTGTGTGTGTGTGCATGCCCAAAATCCTGAAAGGAGAATAGAAGAAAAAGGGATTGCAACATGGCCATCCTCCCCAAAGGTGATTTCTCCCTTTTCCTCTCTCTGTCCCTCTCAAGTAAGCACACACGTCCTATGGCTAAAAACTGAAAAAAAAAAAAAAAATCTGTCATTCAAGTCCTTTGCTTGGGAGGGATATATATATATATATATATGAAAGGCAAAAGCATTTTCACAGAAAAACATTTTAATATTACTTACTGAGAAATAGACATCGTGGGACCAGCAGATGGCATTATGTTTACGTCACTGGACTTCCATGTAGTCACCTGTGGTTCAAGTCCTGGACCTAGCAGCTTGAAACTCATTGTGCGTGCATGCCCAAGATCCTGAGAGGAGAAAGGAAGAGAAGGGATTGCAGCATGGTCATCCCCCCCACCACTCACCAGGGGGTGATTTCTTGTTTTCTGTCTCTCTGGTGAGCACATGTTCCCTATAGCAAAAATCTATCTAAAAAAAAAAATTTTTTTTAAGGGATATACATCATGTTTAGGAACTGGTCAGGATAAAATCTTGAATTTTCAAAAATTTTCAAAATGGTGGGGTGGTCTGGACAGTGGTGCCACAGTAACATGATTCTCGGAAAGGCTGAGTGGGAAGGTTCTGGGTTAGCATCCAGAGACCTCCCTGCACATGCCGGGCGTGTGTGTGCCCATGATCCACGGCTGGCTGAGGTAGAGGATGCATCAAGACCCCACTAGCGATGCCTGTCTCGTTCTCCATTCTTCTCACTCAAAGATGAAAGAGAGAAACTATTTTTTTTTTCCCAAAAATGAGCTTACCTAATCTCCCATTGCTTTTATCCTGACCAGCCTAGAAAAAAAAAAATCAGTCACTCACTGGGCATGGTTATGTTTAATAACTAAACTGCCTCACAAAAGTGTGTGTCCCAGGAGAAGGAAGAGGAGTTAGGCTATCAGTGCCTTGTCACAAACAGCAACTGATCTGGGAAGTTGAGCACAGCCATTGCCAGCAATGAGACATCTCCAAGAGGGTGTCGAGAGTCACTCGTCAAGACTGGGCAAAGGGGGTCTCAGTCCTTATGATGTGCTCTCTCCCATGTAGCTTTCAGTGGTAATCTCAAGTTA